TAAACACATAGATATACAGGTATTATATACACACACACCGGAACATACAGGTATGTGTGCATATTACTTTTACATATATGTACATACCTATATAGATATATGGGCATATATTTTTCGTAAGACTGGAAGAATGAATATTTGTGCATGTGTGCATATATATATATATACACACGAAGATACAAACATAGATGGATAGTTAGGTAGACCGTTGATCCAGGCGGTTTCCGGGTTCATACAGGTTTCCATAAACTCCTAAACCCAACACCTGAAGCCATCATGATAAGCGCGGACGTGCAATGATTAATGCTGAAAGTTACACCTCTAGCTGTAATTCGTCGCCCCAACCTGCCTAGCATCGACACTGAAGCCTTCAGACCTGCATCCTCACTTGAATTGGATCGAGGCAGTACACTCAAGATTTTGCCCGAGAAGTTCTCAAGTGTTGGACGGCCGGCTGTGACAAGGCTGGGTCCTCCGGAGCTCCTCAAGTCCCCAAGTGCATCAATGACTCCCAATAACACCACATCCCTATAAACCCTAATTAATCATAAATCCCAAAACCGAAACCCTAAACCGAGCCCTAAGCCCTGAAACCCTAAGCCCCGAAACCCTAAAGCCTAGTCCCTACACCCCAATCCCTAAACCCTAACCCCCGAACCCGAACCCCAAACCCATAACCCAAACTCCTAAACAAAACCACCAGGCATCGTGTGCCGGCTGTGACGAGATGGCCGCCCCGGGTGAAGTTTTCGTGCATGCCAGAGATGCCACCTCCTACGATGCAGAGCATCAAATCTCCCTGCTCTTTCAGCAGCCGATCGACTGGCAGGAGGACGTTGCTTGATATGCATACATAGACGACACATGTGGCTCTTATTTAGCTCAACACAAGCACATCTGCCCCGACTTGATTAGGCTTTGCTGCTGGATGTGGTGCAGTTTATGCAAGCGAGCGGCAAACTGCATCTCCCGAAGTCGTGGCCAACCGACTTCCCTTAGTGCATAGTGGTCTCAGAAGCAGGCCGAGTGTGACCGTTTCTTAGAGTCCGGACCACGATGCTTCCAAACCAACGTTGGTAAAGCTTTGAACAACTAACTCAAGCCGTGTTTCTTAAACTTTGAGATCCTACATAGACCAGGAAACCCAAAAACATAACATTGGAACCAACAAACCCAAACCTCAACAAAAAA